AATTCGGCTCAGGTCACGATCTCACATGAGTCTGAGTCCCACATCAGGCTCACTGGTACCAGCTCTGAGCCCACTTCAGATCCTCTGTTCCTCTCTCTCTTTGCCTCTACCCCCATCATCTCTTAAAAAGAAGTAAACATTAAAAAAGTAATTTAAACTGGGTTTGCAAAAAAGAGCAGAGAAACTAATTTCACAAGAAATAATGTAAGAGAAGCGTGAGTTCATTTTCCTAAGGTTTCATATCACACAAACCAATTAAACTGTCACCCAATAAAAGATTAATCCTAATCATGACCCGTCTTGCCTTTGTTCTTTTTCTTGGCTGAGCACCCGCTCCAGATCCGGCATTATTCTGGGAGACAGAGTCACAGAATTAACTGGGCAGGATTCTGACTTCCAAGGGCCATCTTACAGTGGACAAGTCAGGGGAAACCATGCAACTGAGCTGTTCCTAACTGCCCCCAGGAATATATACTCCTTGTCCATTTATATGGACGTAACAATAACAAAATTCATACATATTCCCAATAATAGTTCTTTATTGTAATGATTCGTTTACAGATCTATCTGTCCTACAAGGCCGTGAATTTCTTGACCTTGGGAGGGCATCCTTCCCTTATCATCAGCACCACAGCCAGTGTCTATAGTTGCTGACATATAAAAATGTGGTGAGAGTAGACAACTCTTCAGTCGTTCAATACTTACTATGAAAATAATTAGCTAAGAATTAATCTACTATACAGTGATTAACAAAAACACAGGGAAATCAATGTTTAAAATATTGGCATTAACTCTGAAAATGGACAAGATTTCTTAAAAAAAGATCCATAAAAGATGATCTGGTTTTCAAAATCCAGTAGGTCCTCCAATGGAGAGCTAACTGCACACAAACACACCCACCTCTATACACAACAGAATCTATTTTTAGGAACATGTTCTCAGAAAGGACCGTGAGCTTCAGATGCAAAAGTTTCCTAAAGCGCCCTGTTAGCAGTATTCATGAGAAAATCTTAGAAGAAAAGTTATCATCAATACATTTCGATTTACAATGCCTTTGGGTTACAGGCTCGTTCTTTGTTAAATTTCACACTGAAAAGCTGCTATGAGCATAACGTCACATTGCACGATAAATATTTTTTGACTTACTTTTGAATTAATATTGCCAAAATGCCATTCTAAGTATATCAAACTTCAAAAAAACATCAGAAGAGTGAAGGAGTGCAGTCGGGGACTAATTGCTACATTCCCACCGACAATTTGCGCCCATCCAGTCATTAGCCCCAGCTGTCACTCTGCTGGAAAGTTCACCAAATCTGACATTCCATCAACGGCCTTATGTCCCACGTGTCTGCTTTGAAGCTTGACCCTTAACTTGACTTATTCAAATTGCCTAGCAGCTCTCCGTGCAATTCATCTTACCCGTTGCCGGGGGAAATAGGACTTTTAGTGATTATATATTTTAGTGAGATAACTATTAGCAAAATATTTATAGGAAAGCAGTACATTTCTCACATTTTCATGCCTATTTAGGACTGTGTTTCACATAGAGTGAGTTATGAATCCAGTCTCTTCGGAGATGTTTTTCATCAGAAATTGTCAAATTAATTCACAAAATAATTTTTTTTCTTTTTGTCGTAGAAATATATCTCTATTTTTGCAATACATTTTTCTAATCCATTACTTTTAACTATTTTTTTACCCATTCTTTCAATCAAGCCATTAACATAATCAGCAGAAAAGAAATATGTGGACGATTCAGGACGGGGATTTTTCTGTTTTAACCACTATATTACTTTAATAATTAGAACAATTCCTAGCATTTGATAATTTGCCACCCCCTCCTGAATACTTGCTGTAGTTTTTAAACAAGGGTAATGACCTTAAATAATATGATCTAGTTATAATTATTTAATTATAATCCTCTCCTTTGGAAACTGTTAAAAACTTCAGTCAGGACCTCAGTCTTTGCTCTTCCAACTCTTCCCCATCCTTATCATCACTTCTTCACCAAGCGATGGTACCACCATCTTCACACCAATGAGGAGTCACTGGGTGCCGCTTTCTGTACCAACGTTCTTCTACGAATCCCAGATAATCCCAGACTTTCTACTGGCGACCACTCGAAGTTCAACCGTTTACGTGCAGAATCTTCACAGAATAATACTAATGTGTTCTGAGCTGCCATGATTTCTGGGTCTTATTATCCAGGCGCTTGTGGTGTTTGCCGTGCGGTCTGGATGTGATCTTCTGAATCTCCCGCAGGCAGAGTCCGTCACCTGGGGCATTCTTTCCGTTCTGTGGTTCTGGGGCAGGCTTATAGGAAACGGCCAGATCCCTAGATTTTAAGTTTGTTTGTTTGTTCGTTTACTTATTTTGAGAGAGAGAGAGCAAGCGAGCAGGGGAGGGGCAGACAGAGAGAGAGAATCCCAAATAGGCTCTGAGCTGTCAGCACAGAGCCCGACCCAGGGCCTGAACTCACAAACTGTGAGATCATGACCCGAGCCGAAACTGAGAGTCAGAGCCCCCCAGGAGAACCTAAAACCCTGAATTTTAGAGCAAAGCCTCCCCGCCAGCCATGTCACATTCCGCGTCTTCCTCCTCGTCAACCTCAAGCATCTGAACGCGACTTTCCTTCATATCCGCCGCATCTCTAATTTCTGTTAGAAACCTAATCTTGGGGAAGAAGGAGAAGAGCTAAGGAACACAGGGCAGCCCGAGGGACGAGAGAGGGACCAGGACTAAGAGCTCCACTGACATGCGTCTGACGGTTGAGCATCATTTGGCACAGAGCCACGAGGGCAGTCAGTCAGTGCGTGTCTGGCCCTGGCCACCCACCCGAGGTCAGGTTCGGCAAGAGCACGCGGGAGGGGCCAGCCTGCGGGGCAGGAAGGGAGAACGGAAGCCGAGGGAGCTGGCAGTGCACACAGAGCCTTCGAGAGGAACGGGTTGGCGGCACTGTGTCTGCAAAGTGCACCTGTGCTGCTTTTCCGGCGGCTTCTGTGCTATGACTGAATAGGAACTCAACCACTGCTGTGGAGATTCATAAAGCCATCCGATTATCTGACACGGAAGGCTGGAGCCCTGAAGGTCTGTCGCCTTGCCTGTCTCTTTCCACCCCGGACTCTTTGCTGGTTCCTCACTGCACCCCACGCATGGGCCTCGGACCTTCTCGGACAAGCACAAACCTGCTAGCTTAGCAAACCTGATCTAACTATGAGTAAGCAATTGCACAGTGTCCTTGGGGGGGCGGGGGAGGAGGTCCTCCTCCAACAGCTGCTTCTGTACCGAACAGGCATTCAATTAGTCAACAAAGTATTTAATTGGCCAATGTAATTAAGTAATGACACTACAGTCATGTCAAGCAGGTTTTACAGCAACATTTAAATATATTCCCATAACGGAAATGTATACGTGCGTGTTTCTATAAATCAGAGTTGAATACCCCTTCCTACTCCTGCTAAGTGCTCTCCCTTGTCAAGATCTTCCTGGAAATACAACATCCAATATAAAGTAATACACACTTAAATGATCAATAATGCTTAATAAGTGGTCTTTGGTAATAACCATGACCTAACGTACAGCTAGTATTACCCGTGGCAGTATTCTAAACTCGTGAGCTCAAATTTTACTTACATGTTTTATGTTTTTAAAATTAAATAAGAATTCTCAAAATGGTAGTTGAAAATGTATCAAAAGGGAAAGTAGATAGGGAGAAAAAAACTGATTTTGAAAGCAAATATATGCCATTTATCTATTTAATCAATGAATATTAAGTACA